ACGGCGGGCACGGCGGGCAGGGATGCCGCGGCTCCTGGCGCCGCTGCTGTGCCTGGCTCTGCTGCCCGCTCTCGCCGCGAGAGGTAGGAGCCCGCGCCGCGCCCGCAACTTCCCGCGCGCTTCCAAACTTTGGCGGCGGCCGCGCGCCCCGGGTGGCGGGAGTTGGAAGTCGGCTGCAGTGTGCGAGCCGCGATCGGCGGGGCATGGACCCCGCTGTTGGGCTCCGAGCCGGGCATGGGGTCCCAGGGCCCGGCCGTGCCCGCCCTGGGCGCCGCGCTGGGCTCCCCGCGGGGGCGGCGGACGCGCTGTCGGCGTCCTCTCGGTTTGAAGCGGCTGGGCTTGAGCTTCCTGTTGCTTCTTAGGGCCGCTTGTTCTCTTTCTTCTTCGCCGCCGGCCCGCACGGGGGCGGATGTCGGGGTGCACAGTGTGGGGTCTGGGCGGCTGCTGCGCCCGGGGATACCCGGGTCCCCCCAGCCCGTGTCGAAGTGTGCGAGCCTCAGGCGCTTTCGCCTGGGGAGGAGTTTGGGGATCTTTCGGGGATGTTTATCTCTCTGCCCGAGTCGCTAAAAGGACTCTCGGAGCCCAATGGTGCCCGATTTCTCTCTTTCCCCAGAGGTGGAGGAGAGAACAGCCCTGTTCCACAAAGTAGGGTTCCATGTGACACCCCGTCCCCGCCCCCACGCAGGGTCTGAGTTTCCGCGGCTCCTTAAGATGGGAGGAGGGGCTTGATTAATGATCCCTTCCCGAGAATGGGGTCGAATTCCTCCGGATCGGGGCTCTCCGCCTCCTCCGTGGGCGCGGCAGGGGCTGCCCCGGAGATGGCCGGGACCAGGTATTGGGTGTCGCGGGGGCGGGGCAGGTCCCTGGGTGCAGCCCCGGTGTCCCAGGAGGCGGCCCTGGCGCGACAATGGGCCGCTCTGATTCCCTGGCCGGCGCTTTGTCGGCAGGAGGGGCCGCGGGCTCCGCAGCTGTCGCATTTTCCCACGAGGGGGGGAGCTATGTGGCCACCCCCTCCCGCCTCCGCCTCCCGGGCTCCTTCCAAGCTAAGTGTTTGAACAGCGGGATGATCCTGGTAGCTGGTTCGGGGTCCCAGCCCTTCCTGCCCCCCAGTGAACACCAACTGGGCCGGGAGGTGCAGAGTTTGGGAGACTAGTCTGAGTTGTCTTCGTTTCTCTTTTCGCTCAGGCGTGGACTGGGCGGCCCCTCCCACCTGGGAGGAGACTTAGTCACCTGCCGCCTAGCCCACTTGCTCCCCTTCTGATGTGCAGTCCCCGGCAGAATGTGGAAGCCCCTTGGGTTTGGGTGGGCTTTCTAGATACTGTCTCCAGGCCACCCTGGTGTCCCCGAGGGTTTGGAGCTGGTGGCAGATCCCAGCCCGGGTTTGGGGGGAGGGGGCTGCGCAGTCCAGGCTGACCTTTCTCCTGCCCCTTCCCAGGCCTGCGCTGCTCCCAGCCCGGGACCTGCCAGAACGGTGGGAGGTGTGAAGTACTCAACGGCACCGAGGCCTGCATGTGAGTAGCCCCCCGCGGGGACCTGTTGCTTTTGTTGGGAGCAGAGCCCCTGCCTTCTGGGGACTGAACACTGGCCCATTGTCTTCTGGTGGCAGCCCATGGCTGGGCTCGGTCACGTGCTGACTTTTATTGGACAAAGTCTGGCAATTACTTAATCACCAGCAATTATGCCGCGTGTGGAACCACTCTTGCCGCCAGAGGTTGGCGTGCTCTGTGGGCACTTTGGGCTGGAGTGGCAGCACAAGGAGGGGATCCCTGGTGCTGTTTCTCCTCTAAGTCCCTGAGGAACAGTTGCCCTTGGGGTAGTGTGCAGAATTTTTAGAGCCCCCCCATCACCGGGAGCCTTTCCTCTGGGTAGGTGGACTTCTTACTGCACTGGAGGACATTGGCTGCTTCGAGCCAAGCCCACTGTGGCTTCTTGGCCCTGCTCTCTCCTGGGCTCTAGGCAAGGCTGGAGAACTTGGAACTGTTCTTGCTGGAGCCACCTGCCTGAGCAGTGGGGTAGGAGTGTTCTGCCTCCTGCCGGTGGCCTGTCGGCCTCACTCAGGTCCTCCACGAAATGGGCATGAAGGAGGCTGAGGACGGGGGGTGTCATCTGCAGTGCGCTCGGGAATCCTGCTGGGGCCCTGAGCCCTGGCTGACTGTGGCTTAGCTGGCCTGAGAAATTTCTGGGCCACGCCGGTGCCCTTCAACTTGAGCTCGCCCTGAGGAGAATACCGAGGAGGTTTTGGGCCGGGCCTCCCCTCCCCTGGAGACTGCAGACAGAAGCGCTTGAGCCTGGGCGGGCGGCGCGCCCTCGTTCCAACTGCTGAGTGCCTGTCCCCTTGACAACCCCATGCTCCTTCCCTCGCTGCCCGTCCTGGGCAGGCGGCCCCCTCCCTCCCCAAACTGAAGCCAATTAAGCAGGTCTGGGAGCAGTTTATTGGACAAAGCCAATTGTGTCTTTGTCCAATGCTAATGAATGCACACTAGCTTTTTTTTTTTTTTTTTTTTTTTTTGCTTTTTTGGGGGCCCTTTCTCCCACTGCAGAAGCCTCGCGGTCGCTTGATGCCCTAAATCTTGTTTCCCTCCATTCAGAGGCGACAGCTGGGATTCAGGGGAAGTGCAGTGGCTATTGTTGGGAGGGGGATTAATGCTGTGTGATTAATTATGCGTGGCTTCCCAGAATGCGTGGCCCCCCTTCCCCGCCAAGGCGGCGCGCCTTGCCTCGTGCAGGCAGGCTGAGAACCTTGCTCCCGGAGGCTGGGGAGGGCCACTGCCCTGGAAGGTGGGAGGTGCCGGCTTCTGGGCCACCGATGGTGGGTGCAGCCTGGTCGTGAGCTGGGGCTGGGTCTCCCGAGGCCCATGCTTTCGGCCCCGTGCTGCCTGGGCTGAGGGCTATGTGCTTTGGGGTGCAGGATGGCCAGGCCCTACCAGGCCCTGCTCTGGCACCTGTGCCAGAACCCTCCAAGCCCACCAGGCGACAGTGCTGTGGGCTGTCTTTGCTTCCCAAACTCAGGGATGTTGTCCGTGAGGCCCATGCAACTCAAGCCGGGCCACCAATAAGAGCTTTGTGCCTGGCCCTCCCCGCTCCAGGGCCCGATGCCCCTCCTCCTTGGCAAGAAGCCTGCCTCAGTTTGGCCTGGCACTTGGCCAGGCTATGCCCACAGAGGACCATTGTGCTTGCCCCACGAATCCAGAAGATGAGGCGGAAGTGCCGACCTCTGGGCAGCAGCATCAGAGGCCAGGGCCACAGGCAGTCCTGCTGAATGAGGCACAGGGCCAGGGCGCAGCACAGCGTGGGTGCAGCGGGACTCTCCTGCTAGGCCTGGACACCCATGCGGTCCACAGTGCTCGTGGAAGCTGCTGCCTTCCTGTTAGCACCCCGGGCTCTCCTGGCCAAAGGGAAAAGTCTCTGTTCTCTCAGGGTGTCTGGGGTGCAGCCTCCAGCTGTGGTCTTCCAAGCTTCCCAGCTTCTGGTGGCACTGCTGTGGAGATGGGTCAGGGAAAGGTGGAGTCACCATGCCTGCCTGTGAATCATCTCTTTCCATCCAGAGAGAAGGAACTTTCCCAGGCTGCTGTCACAGGACTGAGAGCTCAGGATGGAAAAGTGGACTCTGTTGGTGACAGCCAACTTCCCAGAGGGCCTGGGGTCACCGCGGCTGGGCAGCGTGGCCCCATGAGCGCTGAGGGGAGAGCTGCAGGCAGCTCTGTCTGTTGGGGAGTGTGTGTGTCCACAGTCTGGGGCTGCCTTCCGCTCTGGAGGCAGAGACGGGGTGGCTAAGCAGAAGGCAGCTCCCTCTGCCTGCAGAGTCACGATATCCTGGGGGCATCTGTCTGCTGTCACAGAAGTCATTGAGCCATCCTGGCCAGAGAGCCCAGAGGGAAGGGGCTGTAGCTGCAGGCAGCCCTGCACTCAAGGCCACGTTCTGCTGACCACCAGCTCCGTGACCGTGGGTCTTCAGGTCACCTGAGCCTCAGTTTCCCTTCCTGTAAGGCAGGGTGGATAGGCAGTTGGTGTCTGGGTGTAAGGATCGTAGAGGATGGCTGGCTGGCTGTCTCCCTTGGCTATGAGCAGGCGGAGTCTCCTCCTGGGCGCTCTGCTCCTTGGTGAATGGGTTGATTCAGAGAAGCCAAAGGGGCTGCCCGCTGCGCGGTGCCGGGGAGGAGCTTGAGATTCCCGAGTCTGTCCGGCCCCCACCCACGCTGTGCGGCTCCAGCGGGCCACCTTTGCCTCCTTCCCTGTGTGCTTAGAGCACCTGCTGAGTGTGGCAGAGCTGGGACCCGGCTGGGACGAGACAGGCATGGCCTTCCATCTGGCGGCCCCATTGGAGCGACAGCCAGCAGCGCAGGTGATGTGTGCCGAGCGCCCCACTCCTAGGAGCCGTGTTCCCACGTGCCATGCCGTGGCTCCCAGCAGCACATGACACTGCCCCTTTGAGGCTCCAGAAGGTGAAGAGGAAGAGGCCCAAGCAGGCTGGTGCGGGGGCCCCGCGGTCATGGCTCCCCACACCCTGCCCCTCTTGCTCCAGAGCAAGGAAGCCAGGCGAGGAGTGACATGGGGGCCAGGGCCTCAGCAGGAAGTGACTTTTCAGGCTGGGAGGGCATGACAGAGCCATGTGTTTTTTGTCACCTCGTCCTTCCTGTTCCACCTGCAGCCTTGGGAATGGAGGTGCTGTGGGGTCTGTCGTCCTCTGGGTGAGGACCCCAACTGGGGCCTCTGCTGCTCAGGCCTGGAAGCTGTGACCAGGACAGAGGGCCTGCCTGCCACCGAGCTGGGGAGACAGAAAGAGGGGGCTGCCGGCACTGTCCAGAGACCACATGATACTAACCTAAAAGGCCAGCTAGAGCTGCTGGCCCAGGGAGCAGAGTGTGGGTGGTGGACAGGGGAACCCCAGTTTAGGGTGTGGAGTGAGTGCTGGCACAGCGGTGGCATTGCCTCGGGGAGGGGGTGTCACGTCTCGGTCACACTCTGTGAGTGGGCACTGGCTTAGGTCCTGGAACACAACTCTGGAGGGCAGGTGGGTGTACCTGGCAGGGCTGGGCCTGGGCGCGAACCTTTCCTGTTGTGTGTGTTGTCTATAAATAGTGAGAGGATGTGGCTTTGCAAAGGTGACTGAACTTTGATGTTGCTTTCCTCAAAAATGGTGACGCTTCCCGAATGGGAGCGCCCCCCACCTGTTGGGGGGCCCTTGTTTGCTCTCCTCCCTGAGGGCTAGCGATGTGGGTTTCCTCCTCAGTTTCCAGGTAGGAAGGACGAGGCTGAGGTGCAGCGGCTGGGCGGAGGGTGTGGATGCGGGACCAGCTTGCGTCAGCCTGGCCTTCCTGTGCAGGCGCATCCAGAACTTTCTGGCTGTTTCCCAGAGGCCCAGGAGGAAGCCTTGCTAGCTTTAATGAGCGGCTGGCTGGAGGGCATGCTTACGGCCCTCCTCCTCCTCGCCTAAGCGTCTGATCCTCGGGTTCCCAGGCAGGCTGGGTTCCCCGTGGGGCACACCCTGCACTCCCGGCAGGTCCAGGGCCAGTTGGCCCTGATGAGCTGGCCCTCAGAGCTCTGTCTCCCCCTGAGTCCCCATTTCCCCCTCCAGGATCAGTGCCCCTGGAATCACCTTTAGCTTTGTCCCAGCCAGACGGGACCCTGGGACAGTCAGCACACACAGCGGTGGTATCTGCTGGCAGCGGTGGCTGGGAACGCGGCCTGACCGTGCAGCCGGGCAGGTTCTGCCACGCTCAGGCGTGCTCTGGGCTCCAGGCTCTGAGTGCCGAGCCCCTGGGCCCTGGGCTGGATAGGCAGAGGGCGGGGGAGGTGCCTCTCCACGGGCTGCTCTGGGCACTGGGGGCTTTGAGTGGCGAGTCACGTGCGCGGTTTGCCGTCCCACCCATCAGGAGCGTGTGCCTCAGCGGCAGTCAGTACCTTCACCACAGCATGTCACTAGTGCGAGTTCCAAGAATTCTCTGCCACTCCAGAACAGTCGCATCCCGGCCCCTCCCTCAGCCCCGTCAGCCATGGAGGTGCCTCCGTCCGTCCTGACGTTTCCTGTGAGTGACACCATGCAGCCTGTGGTCTGTGTGTCTGGCATCTCTCGCTGCGCAGTGTCTCACTCTGCTGTGGGTTAGAGTGTCACCCTATGGGGACTAGAACTCAGCTGCCCGAGGCCATCGGGGACTGGTCTGAAGGGGGCACAGTGCCTGAGGCCAAGAGCACTCAGCTGACCTCCCAGAGGGGGTGGGTGGTGGGCAGAGTGTCCGGCATGGCTTCCTTCCAAGCCTGTGTCACCATCTGCGGCCATGGAGCCCAGCACAGGCCTGGAGTGCCCACAGCCATGCCAGCCACCAAGCCTGTGGCCTCCTGGGTCCACAGGAGGGGGTTCTGGCTGTCAACTGGCCTACGCTGTGGGGTGTGAGCTGGCAGAGCAGATAGATACACCCCACTTTCACCCCACCTGACCTGACACCAGGCCGTTCAGCCTCAGCCATCCAAGATCAGCTTCAGAAGCTTTGCTTGGGTGCTTTGGACCCTGTGG